ATATTATTGAACATACATTGGTGTATGATGATGGTCATGGCCGACCAGAACTTGTAATAATAAGAAATAATCCATATATAAATCTACATAACAGACTTCAACTACAAGGATAGAGGGCAAATGTTGATTTAAAGCCTATTTTTAATATTTATATGACTCTACAGTATATTTTGAAATATGTAAGTAAGACAAAATCTCAATCAGCAGCATTCATTAAAATATTTAACCAGATTCTCCATGATAGCAAACCAGATGATCTATCACTTACTTCAATTCAGAGACTCCTATTTCATAACATTGCAGAATGAGATATCTCTGCACAAGAGACCTGTTATCTTTTTCTAAGCATTTTTCTTTACCATTCGAGTTATTTATTTATTCTTTTAAATATTAATAAGAAAGCACCTAGGTGGATTTGTAGTACAGGAAATAATGAACGAGATAGGTTTAGTGCAATAAAGGATATTGGATGAATAGCACAATTATCTTTAAAAATATATTGGGACAAACTTGCAGAATTTGAAAATTTTTCACTATTTTGATTAAATTTATCTTATAAATTTATTAATGATTATTGGAATAAATACAAGCATCAAAATATTATATACATTTGGCTACATTTGTCATCTTTACAAAAGGGTTTTCAATGGAAGGAATTTTGTCATGTAAAAGTTTTTCTTTATGTTTGTCATAGAGATCTATAATAGTTAACCAAAAATGTTACTATTACATAGTCAATCCTATATGACTGCTATATTGAAGAGATCAATATCAATCCAATTGACTTACTTGGAATCCCTGTAGATAAGGATCCTAATGATTTTTTTCGATTTTGTATTCGATTCTCAAGTTTATATTAAATTTAATAGATGGGGTATACCTTATTATTATTTTTAATAATGTTCTGAACCTTATGTGATTCCTTGTGATTCTATTTGATTTCAATTTTTGAAATCATATCTGTAAATAATGAAGAAGATAAAATTATTAAAGAGAAAAGTCAAGATAAACTTGAATATGATCAGAAGAAATTCAAATATAAGTGAATACTTCTTGCAGAAATGGGTCCAAATGCAGTTATTAATCATTTCACTGATCTAGGATCTTACAACATAAATCAAAATCATGATTGGCTTAACTATGCTAAACAGCATTATGATAATATCGACCTTGCAGATGCTAGCTCCTTCATGTAATGAGTTTCTGGAAATAGCAGAAATGATTCTATAATGGTAACAAATAAAGATATGGATATTTTAGATAATGTGACTTTAAATGAAAAACAGAATATAATATTTAAGTAAATAAAGTTACATTACTACAATGTACTTGCAGATCTTCATGTTAAGTCACTAAGAATCATTATTATGGGAACAGCAGGAACAGAAAAATCTCTTCTAATTAAAGTAATCTGAAGTAAGCTTCAAAAGATGGTAGGAAAGATTGTAACACCTGTACTTGTACTTGCATCAATAGAAGTTGTAGCCTTTAATATAGAAGGTATAACAATTCATTTAGCACTCTCTATACCTATTATTAATAATGACAATAATTTTAACATAAATGATAAATGACTAAAACAATTACAACAAAGATTAAAAAATGTACACTACTTTATTATTAATGAAAAAAGTATGGTCAAATATAAAATGCTTGCTTTAATTGACATATGATTACGTCAAGCATTTTCCAAACACAATAATAAACCTTTCAGCAGTTGATTGATTATTTTGTTTAGTGACTTTGATCAGCTTCTACCAATGCTTGATCTCCTAATATATACTAATAATCAGCAAGATTCGTTGTCTAATAATGGTTCTATAGTATATAAACAATTTCAAAAGATACATGATAGTATAGGGTTGAGGTCTGGCTTTTTGTCCCATATATACAAGTTTTTTTTCTTCACTAGATACTTCTTCATCAGAGGTATCTTCAATTGTAAGATAATTTATATATTTGTCTTTTTTGTTGACTTTGACAATTTTAACAAGTTCGGCATTCACCGTTTAAAACTAATGTTTCTTCTCTGCATTAGTTACAATTCTTTTTTTTATCTTCTAAATCATTAAACTAATTATCATTTTTTTCCAAACTCAATACTTGAAAATCTTGGCAGTCATCTACATAAACTGTTTCACCTTTGGCTCCCTTTTCATATAACATTTCAGTGTGAAACAAAAAATCTTTTAACTTGCTCAAATTTGGTCCAAACTGCACTATTTTTTTTTTAGAAAAAATATACAACCAGACAAAAAATAATGATCATCTTGTGACTATAACATTCTTTTTTCTTGTGCTGTGTCTTCTCGAAATGCCGTTGTCTTCTGAAAAAAGTCAATGCAAAACTTTGTTATATTTATGGAACATTGATATATATAATATCAAGAAGCTGTATATAAGAATAAAGGTCCCTCTCTTCACAATATACAAAAACATCACAAAACTTAAAAAAAATAAGTCATTAAAATACTCAGAAGGTAATAGTCATCCAGAAAAAATCATAAAGGAGGCAGTGATTATGCTTGGGCAATATATATACCAAAATCCCACTATTTTGACAAGAACTTTGACAATAAATCTATCAGAAAAAGGTATAAATGTTTCTTATCAAATTATTGCAAGGTATTTTAACAGTATTGGATATAAAAAAAATCTTTCCAGAGTGATGCCTATACTTATTGAGGTCCATAAGCTAAAACGTGTAAAGTGGACCCAAAAATATCATAACAAATACTGGAACCGGATATTATTTTCAAACGAAATAGCTTTTCAGCTGTTCAGGAATACTGTAGAACGTTGATATAAGGGCACACAACTGATCCATCCAATGCCAAAAGACTGAAGAAAAATTCTTTTGTGGAGTGACTTTTGTATAGTAGAAAAAACAAGTTTATTTTGCTTTAGACAAAATATGGATGTAGAACTCTATATAAAAATTATTAAAAAACACTTACCCGAGATTAACTGCATGCTTGGAGACAGGTGGCATTTCCAGCAAGACAACAATCCCAAACACACAAGCTGTCTTGCTCAAGATTTTCTTAAAAATTATTTCCCAAAGATTATTGAGTGGCTATCGAACAACCCGGACTTAAACCCCATTGAGAACCTATAGAATATTGTGAAAGATAAAGTAAAAAAAAGAATGTCAAAAAATCTCGATGATCTGAAATGATTTATGACCAAGGAATGTGATAATATTCTGACGACCATTCTAAATAACTTAATAAAATCGATAAAACATTGTTATAATCTAGTTATTGAGTTAGGGAGGGAACATATTTAATATTGATACTAATAAAAGTTGATGTATAGGTTTTAAACTTTAAAATAATGTATTTTTCATGTTACGTTAAATTGCAAGTTAATATATAATAAATGATTTTTTGATTCTGGTTATTTTTGTCTCACACTATATATATTATTCTAAAAATTAAAATCGAATAAAATCACAAGGAATTATATAAAATTCAGAATATTATTAAAAATGATGATAAAATATATGTCATCTATTAAATTTAATATAAACTTGAGAATTGAATATAGAATCGAAGAGAATCCTTATATATATAGCAATTTGATATTGTTATACTAATATTATTATTATTATTTTTTAATACTATAGAACACAACTTCTTAAAAATTCAGATAATAATAGTTATATAATTATTTCTTAAATATATTTAGTTTTTTATTATCAATAAGTAAACAATATTAGATTTGGTAATAATAACAATATTGATTTTTTGAAAAGAATAAATTATTTATTTTTTTTCTGAAAACCATAAAAAAGAATAATTTTCCAAAACCCATATCTTGAAAGAAATTATTATTTTTTAATAGTTTCTAAAAAAAGAAAACCTGCTAGTTAAAAAGATAATAAAATGAAATGGTGTTTCAAAAAAAAAAAAAAATCTAAAAAAAAAAATCTTCAAGAAAAAAAAAATATAATTTTGACAGAAAAAAGAAAAAAGAAAAAAAATAAATCAAAAAAAGATTTATGGAACAAAGGAAAAAAGAAAAGAGAATTAAAGAAAAAAAAGTAACAACTCAAAGGTTTCCTAAAAAAGAAAATTTTTATGTATTTAAAATGTAAAAAAATGTTTTTTTTTTTTAACTTTTTTATATATTTATTTTATTGTCCAAAGCAAAGCAAAGAACATTCTATGTTTATGATCCTTGATGAAAATAGAGGTCACGTGTGGATTCTGTCCGTCACGCTTGTGTAACGCATGGTTTTTTTTTATTATGATTATTAGCTTCGAACTTACAATGGTTTCTATTTTCTAGTTTATTATTAAATTTTTTTATAATTATTATATATATTATTAAAAATTTTGAAATCGTATTAACAGTAAAGTTAAAATAATTTATATAACATATAAACTAAATATTTAGAATAGTTTTTAATAATTTAATAAAAAATATAATTCTAGTTTAATTGTGTAAAAACAAAACCAAAAATGCATTTTTATATAATTTATAATAGATTAATAAGATATTATACTGTATTCAATCTTTTTTATATCCTTTACTTGATACGTGCTTTTTTAAGGAGTATAAAATTGCTAAAATTGGCCTTCATTTTATGACTTTTTTGACATAGAAATTTTCTCTTGCATCACATTAGTACCTTGTTCTGCGCTTGAGCAAAATGTTCCGTCCGCGTAATACGGTTCCTGATCAGATTTAAGATTTCTAAATCGGTCATAGATACATTTAATTTACTTGCTTGGGAACTGATAGATCAATAAGTCTTTTAGAAGTATGTCACGCGGTATATGGATCCTTATCAATGAAAAGTGTGATGAGAATTCACTCATTTGTTCATGTGACTTTAATATCTTTCAGACTCTTCCCGCAGCAAAAACATACCAGTTCGAGTTTAAGAATATCACGTTATCCATGAGAAATTACACAATCATTCAGCTGACACAAATCTTTTATAAACCTCCTCCGAATATTCAAATTTCATTACCAAATATCTTCCTTTCATTATGACAAAAGAACAAGGAGAAAAAAAGACACCCATTCAGATGCCTCCAGAAATAGAGGCTTTACGCCTTGCTGCCCTTTCGACAAGAAATCCTAAGAAAGAGAAGAAACTCGAACTGCCAATAGCCGAAACTACTCTTGAGACAGCACAGCAAGCCCTCAAATCGACAACCGCGGACGACGACGAAGTATTTTCCGAAAGAGAAGAAGGGGAATTAACTGATACTGACGAGCAAATGGGCGAAGCTTCTCACACGTCAACCTCCGAAGACATTCCTATTTGTATGAAACAAGAGGGGAACGAACAGTGGCGGATACAAGGTATTTTCTTCTTCGGTTTATGTGCAAATGAGAACAATTTTTACGTTAATTATATGTCACCCAAAGCAGAATTACTACGGTGTGATTATACTGGGTAAT